GGGAAATCCTTTTTTTGCTTCGATGTCTAACTTTACGTCGACAGTGCTGGATTTTACAATGTCGTTTCTTCGAGAACAGTCGATGACGAAAATCGCGCAGTTTTTGAAAGCTATATAGTCAAGCAACGCAGTTTTTTCCTCACATCCCTTATAACAAGCTCAGCGAGATGGTTCGAAATCTAACATAAATACCGCCGGAGGAACCTAATCTTAACCAGTCATATTAAAAATGCGCATCGTTGCGGTAGATATTCAAGGCTTCCAGTTAGAAGATGGATTTGTCGTTAAAGAAATGGCTGTCTACAATGGATGTCAAATTAGTCATTACGTTTTGATACCGCCGCGTGAATATTGCACGTTGACCGGTGCAGAAAAAAGAACGGTACGCTGGATCGAACAATATCATCACGGTCTCAAATACAGTTCTGGTTTTGTTCAATATTCCGACATTGATACGTTAATCGCACTACTGATAGAAAAGGGTGACTTGATATACGTGAGAGGAAGATCAAAAATGGAATTTTTAATGTCGAAATTGGATCGGGAGGATGTCGCATGCAGAGTCATTAACATGGAGAAATTCGACGATGATAATTGGTTGAATCCTCCGAAATTTCAACCGGATCACGCCCATTGCATGTTTCACTCCGGAGGAAGACTGCGCATGTGCGCGTTGAGAAATTCTGCCCTTTTATATAATTGGTTGTATTCAAGGATCCCTGTATGAAATAAAACTTTTTTTTTATTTAAATAAGACTTTTTATTTCAATCCAAAAAAATTAATAATACATTTACACGTAAAAATAAAGCACGATAATGCTATGATATGAATACAAATTGCGAAACTGTAATCTATTGAAGTATAATTCTTTTTTCGTTCCATTTCTCGAGTAATATTCTGCGTCATCTCACGCAAAATAGCGACTAAAAGCGTTTGGTTCATCACTTCTCTTTGTTATTTTACCTATAAAAGATTAGCTAGGAACCGAATACATTTTAGTATTTTACTGACCTTGAACGAGATGAGAGTCTTGTTGCTATGCTACGCTGTCTTTACTACCTATTCGGACTTGTCGACGATAGTCGCCGCGCTGCCCGAGGAAGGTGTGATTGAATATTTACAAAAATTCGGATTCCTTTCACCTAACGACAACGAATCTTTAACGCAGATCAATGCGTCCAGTTTGCAACGTGCCCTAATAGATTTTCAGGATTTCTATAATTTACCGGTAAATGGTACTCTTAATAACGAAACCGTCGAACTAATAAATAAACCCCGATGTGGTGTAATAGAAAATGCCTTCACGACTGTTTCGCGATGGCAGAAAACGGATTTAAATTGGTATATTCAAGTACCGCCCAGTCACTATCAAGAGTTAAAAGTGCTGGCAACCGAGGTTTTTAAAATATGGAGTGATGAATCAAATTTAAATTTTTTCTTAAATTACTCAGAATAATAATATAATATTATAATAATAATAAGATTAGGTGATAAAGTCTACATGGAACCTAAAATGATATCAGATTATGTCCCTATTTACGCTCCTATTTCGCATATCTACCAAAGACCCAACGGACAACTTTTGGTAGTCACCGGTGATTCGTTTTATTTACTTCACTTTCCGAGTTTCACGGTAGTGGGCGACCGACAAAGCGTCCAGCGACTGGGTGTGCCTGCGGGTAAAACAGTGAACGCCATTTTTAATACGTATGGCGGTCGAACGTATATATTTTACGGTAAACGCTACTATGCAGAAATAGACGAGTGTTCTTTGAGTGCGAGTGAACACGGTTTTACTACGGAACTGTTTCCGGGTCTGCCCGACGATTTGTCGGGCGCGTTTCGATACACCAACGGACATTTGTATTTTTTCAAAGAGAAAACGTATTACGAATACAACGAATTTTTGAATAAATTAACGAGAGTCGGTGAAATAGACTTGAGTCTTGTCGGAATTAATTGTCCCACAGAGAGTGTCTTTTAACAAATTAGGGATTTGTTAAGAAAGTTATCGATCTTTCACAACAATGAATAAGAAGATAGTTTTCTTCGACGATTTTAGAAGCTTGGATACCGAACAACTTGAATTGATTCCTGTGCAACATTTTTTGGAGCATGTGTGACCGCACGATTTGTTAAATATGTGGCATAAGTTACCAGTACGACATCGCAACAATTTTGAATTGCAAACTCATTTGCCCTGCTTTGTTCACTATAACAGACCGGACAGCAAAATGCATATCGACGGCCCGGCACCTCCCCAGAATAAATGTCATTATTGTTTGAGTGTTATAAAAGCAGTTACCGAGATCTATAATAGATTCATTCGGGCTAGAAACATGGTTTTGTTAAGTGCTCACTTTGTTTTGTTGTCGGCTGTGGTACAAAACGTTTTCTATATACATAAACCTAAGGATGTGATTGAAGCGTTCGTTTGTTTCAAAAATCATAATAATCATTGCATTTGGCCCGAAACGTGGACGCGTATGCACCTCGCTCAGGTCAACGGAATCGACAAGCTACAAACTTTTAGCGTGACATTGTCGAATAACACTACCGCAGATAAGCCGTATTTAAATTACAAGGTAATAACACCAGCGGTGGCGTTAACGACAATTGCGGTAACGAATACAACATCTCGGCAGATCGAAAAACTAGTTTAATCCCGCTATATGTAACTACGTGCGCTTGTTTGCTTCTTTTGGCAAAATGCTTATTCAAATTGACTAAATGTAAATATCTCGCTTAATTACACCGATAGTGGGGGGTTGTTGATATATAAGTACATTTGAATTTGATACCGAAGTCAGTCTGTTTGTCGCAATGTGTAACAAAGTGGTCACTATCGATGAAAACACGATTTTCGAAATAAAGAATTCAGGTGTCCGTTTCATCTTCAAGAACAAGCACATAGATTTTCAAGTCCAGGATTTTTGGGATTTTTTGTTCTTTCTGGGGGACGAGGTGGGAGAAATCATGTTCTGGAACGACATAACAGTCTACATCGGGAGCAGTATCGAGGTGACCTATTCGAACGACGAAGAGAGCTGTGAGTTGATACTGAAACAGGATCATGGCGACGAAATTATCCTCGACCGCCATGAAGTAGAAAATCTCATGGACCAGAAACACCGCTTGTACGAAGCACTACGTTGTCTACATATGAGCTAATAAATATTTGTTATTGTATCTATAGTTTTTCTTTTATTAAACCGTGATTATTGAGACACTCTGTATAAGTCACTCGACTTGTTTACCGACGACCCGATCCCCCGCGTCACCGCGCCACACCGTCTCCGCGCCGCACCGTCACCGCCCTCTACCGGGGGGGGCCTACGACGGTCGGAGCGCGCGACATCTAGCAGCGACGGGCGGAACCGGGGCAAAACAGGACGCTACACAAGCTGGGTGGGGGGCGGAGCGCACTCTGGTAGCCAGGGGGTACACTAGGACGCCACGCGCGGGGGGCCCCCGCTGCGGGGGGTTAGGAAATTGAGGTTATGTGCGGTTTTTGCTGCTTATATCTACTTGGAAGATTTTATTGAAACTATGTTGAGTAATAGAAATAAATATATTTCAGAAGAAAAATTTATGTCTTCGCCGTACCTGGCAGCAAGATAAAGTGGGGCAAAAGTGATGTCGCCATTGGAATGCTAACCAAAAAAATTGAGTTGCAGAATCCAGATGCTATTTCTAGCAACAAATTACGAAAGCACATCGCTACTGTCATGCAAATACTTAATATGACACCAAACGAAACGAAGCAATTTGCGAATTTTATGGGCGATACCCAGAAAACTCACGATGAATACTATGAGTAAGATATTTTTTAAATCTTAGTTTTGTTAATGACAACTAACAAACAAACAAACTAACAAACAGTTTAAACTAAGTTTTTTTCTGTCAATATTTTAATTGCAATTGTAATTAATTTGCAATATCAAATATCAAATGGATAAGCACATATCGAAATATACACAGGCAAAATTATCGTATCTCTTAAAATGCAAGAATTTGTAGTTACGGGGGGACAATTTCTAATAATCGTATTGCAATCACGTATGTTAAATAGGAGTAACAAAATTTCATTTTTACTTTTTTGTTTTATTAACATAAATTTACAATGTTTAAAAACCAAGCTGTAATATTTAATATGTTTTTATTTAATTTAATATCTCAATCATTAATGAAAGTAAGTGGAATCACACAAAAAACTTGAGGATAAATTTAACTGACCAAAAATTGCCCCACCCTGTAGATATTTAACATCACCAAAAATATTGAGCTTCCACAAAAGAGTAAACGTTTCAGATCCCAAAAAAAAGTGTTCGCAGCCATGTTTCTACGAACTTTAAATTATAGGTACTTAAGGTTGAGTTGCTGACTAGTTCTTTACAAAAAAGGTAATTTCTTTTCGCGGAATGACCACCGATATGAAAAGAAAATGGGCGGCGAGCTCGAAAGAGCTTTAAAGTGGACTGTAGGCTTTAAAAATTTAGAAATACTACCGATCGCCAAACGGGCCGCTAAAGAACTTTAAGGTCTCACCTTAAGCGCACGCCTCCGTCTCCTCAGCAGGCCTGCTTCCTCTTTGCTGTAAGTTTTGCTACTCAATTCGCAGAACTTACTGGTGTTACGCCACGGACAACATAAAAACGCACAACGAAAACCTTTAGAATTAAAGTTCCCTTCGCGGAAAACGCGCAACAGATCTCGCTGCTGCCGCACACGGAATGTTAATAGCACTCCCGATCGGCGTGACCCAAAAAAAACTTTAACGGCAATACCGCGGTAAAAAATGTTCCAGCAACTTAAATTTTTATTTGAGTACGCACAAAATTATTTGTCCCAAAAACCCGACTAAACATAAGAAAACTTTCTCTCTTTGCAAATTACCAAAAAATAAAATAATAAAAAAAAATTATATATATACAAGGACAGACGTGCGATCTGTCCATAACCGCCCACCACAATACGCAGTATTGTCATGGGTTGATAGGCAAGGGACACAACTTAATCACGGGGCGTTTGAAAACGCCAGTGCTTGTCCGGACGGTAGCCACTCGGACGACACCATCAGGTCCGGGATGGACTTCGCTTAAACGAGCAATTGTAAAGGAGGTGAGTTGCTCTGTTTTATAATCACTAAAGCGCCCGGTTTACATTTGCAGAGAGACTGTTCCATTTGGCTCTTTGGAGCGTATGGAGATATTCTTTAGACCATCAAGTCCAGATCTGTTGGTGAAATTTGGAGAGAAGCTGCCAACGAGAAAGGCGATTGGGACGTGTTGCACGAGGTCCTCGGGAGGGGCGTTCAAAGGCTCCATTGTGAGGAAGTGCCCGGGCGTTAAAACATTCAAGTCGTTCGGATCCTCACTTAGAGGGCATAACGGACGCGAAAAAGTAAAAGAAACAATAATAATGCGGATTAGTACAGATTATTTTTAAATATATTTTTTCGATATATTTTTGCATAATGATGTTTAAACATCTTAACGAAATTACCAAAAAACCACAATAATTTTCTAATATTTCATCGCATGTAATTGCCTAATAATATCATACATAATATCACATAATTGCCTAATTCGTGAAATTACCAATATGACATATTTTAATTGTAACGTGAAATTTGTGACGTCATTGACAGTTGCGACGTTATCCAATACGGTTCTGCAGTGCCCATCCGAATTTGAATCTATGGTAGATACAACCACATTCGAACACGAAGAAGAGACGTAGAAGACACCGAGATGATTCTGTGGTGGAGCATTGCACGCGGCGGTTTAACCTCCGTTCGCTCCTTGTTCACTTGACGAAAAGCGAAAATTAAATTTTGAGCGTCCTCAATAGTTCGCGTAAAATTCATTGCGAAAGCCTACCTGTTTCTTGTTGGCCGATGTACCAGGCTACCTGGCCTTGCATTGCTTCCAGTTTTTCTTTCATATCATCACCATTTATAAAACAGGTGAATACGCGTTTTTTGGTTGTCATTTTAGTAGTAATGACGGGTGTCGTATCTCACAAGATGCACTGTAGGATGGGTACACTTTGCACACACGTCAAGGAGTTTTACTTTGCTTATCCAATACGGTTGTAGCTGATATTTGTATTTGCGCGCGTAATTACACTTTGAACACACGATTTTTTTGGAGTAGACGAAATAATTTCTCGGCGGTGTGACGTTCATTATTAAACTGAAATGTTATTGTGTGTTCCGGATGTTTTATTAATAGCATTATCAACGGATATTCTTATCTATTTCCTGTCCCCCGCGCCTTCGGCACGTACGCCTCTCTGCCGGTGACGTTTGCGTCACTTGGTTGGCACCACTAACAACGGTTTGGTTGGCACCACGGACGACGGTTGGCACCACGGTTAGGTTGGCACCACGGTTTGGTTAAATTGGCACCACTGACAACGATCGGGGGCTACGCCCCCGCGCGGGCGGGGGGCCCCCGAACGGCGCGCGCGACATCTAGCAGCAACGGGACGGAACCGACGGTACATAATTAGCTTGGCATTAAAGTGACCGTTCAACGACGGACGGGTTTTCACGGCAGCCCCCTCGAGATGGCGGGGGGGCTGCCGGTGGGGTCCCCGAACGGCACGCTGGCGAACGGACAAAGACAACGTTTTGGTTGGCACCACTGACGACGGTTTGGTAAGGTTAGGGCGTATGGTTAATGGGCGAGTGACCTATGGACGAACGGCCAGAACACAAAAAAGAAGAAGCACATGGGCGGGTGGCCAATAGGTCCAGTGTGAAGGAAGAAGACCCGTGGGCGGTGGACCCGCGGCCGGGAAGCCAAAAGTGAGGTTATGTGGGCATGGATGTCCCTTTATTCATCTACATGCAAGGCCAGGTAGGCAATGGTATGAAAAAGCATCGGAGATGGGGCTCCATTGTAATCCAAGAACCTTTATAAATATCTTCCAGGTAATCGCGCATAAAGTCGAGATACATAGAATAGAGCTCTGGGTTTCGAGAAAGACGCTTTTCCAGCGACAACAAGCTAAGGTTCTGGGTGTTTAAAGGGTAGGGATGCGATAAATCTACCACTCTTGTTCCTGCGGATCGTATTTGCGAAAATAGTCTCACACCTTTCGTCCTCCGGGGAAGCGGGATGCTTAGTCGGTATGCTTTCTACTTCCCAGAATTTCAGAAAATAAGTATCTAAGCCAATACTGCTGCAACATGACGTAACAGTCGACAAATTATTCAACGAGTTTTGTACCTTTCCTATTAGTTTCTAAAGCAGATGGATGACCGGACGCACCTGGGATGCGTCCAGCGACTAGGATTTGACCAGTTAATCGCCAATTACAAGATCTACAACACCGGGAATATGGTAATTGCGGTCAGCCAACTCCAGATTTTTTAAATTTTCTCTGCCAGCGTTATCGAGTTAGATTGCAGGTCTGTCAGTACATAGCTGTGGTACGACAATGGCATCGAACGAAAGTAGAGGAGTTGCTTGATTTTGTGATTTAATGGTGCATCGAGTTAATCCTTTTGAAGTTTGACTGGTCATGACTTTTAGGCCGTGAATGGGCACAGTGTAAAGCTTCAACCTGCGTAAACACGTCGTAGTGCGACGACACCCCCAAAGCCTCACAAAAAAAAAGAAAAAGCAAAGAAACGGTTCAGCAGCAGCAGCAGCAGCATACCGGCTCATCCTCCCCCTCCTCCGGTTGGTTCGATACGTTTATCGACGACGAAGAAAGAAGGGTGGTATGCGAAGCGTTCCAGTTGAAAATGGTTTTAGAGTCGCAGCTGGTGCGAAACGAGGACCGGATCAAAGAGACTGAAACTAAAATTGCCCTGCTGCAGAGCGAGTTACAAGTGGCGCGCCTTCATTCCGACGAATGCAGAAAAAAACTTAAACATCTTGCAAGTTTAGCATCCTCTCTGCCCGCATCAATCCCATAGTTTTTTTTTTTAATTTTGAAAATATTATCGATGTTGATGTAAATAAAAAAAATCTTTAGTGTTTTTTTTATTTAGACGCACATACACTCCTCCAAACAACAACAACTAGAACAAAACCTGTTGAATCGGAAATGAAAAAAAAAACATACATTTTACATTAGAATAAAAAAAAGACTAACATAAGCCTAATTTTTACAAATATTTTTTATTATTAGGTCGCAATGAATATGTGTGTTTCTACTACTCTTGAGGCATGTTGTGGATTTGTGATGTCATTAATAGTTGAGAAATTATTCAATGCATTCTTATAACTTTAGAATACATAAAGAATCTATAAGAGATACATACATACAGCAAAGATATCTTCTATTGTATAAAGAATATATCTCGAAGATTGTTTTTTAAATAGAAACTAATATATTCTATAATCAATGAAAGGTATGTAATGTTTAAACTTATTGTTTATATTACTGTTTCTAACCTCTATTTGTTTTTCAGTTATAGAAAGATTCCACAATTTACCCTAAAATGGAATTATATAGAATATGAACAAGATAAATTATAAAATATATATTGATATTACACAACTTTTAAAAGTTTCATTGTCAAGAATCATTATAATTAGTTTAAAATGATTTTTATCGGATATGGATATTGGTATTGATATTGAAGGGAGGCGCTCGTGGGCGTCCAAGCATTTAGGCCACCAGACCGCTCTAGAGAACGTCCAAAATGCCACCCTTTCTATAGAAGGTTAGCAACTTCTTTAGTCTAGTTATACCATGCGCTGAATCCCGATCGATCAGGGTCGTTCCGAAGACTCCCAATCTTGCTCATGTTAAAGCAAAGCACTCGGTAAGCAGAAAATACGAGGCTTTCTCCCTTTTTATGCAATCGGATATGGGTAAAGATAATTTATAAATTTTGTCGACTGAAAATTACTGTTTCATTGAAAGAATTGTAGTTACTTTTATATTAAGGAAATATCAGGTGAATGATTAAATCATGTTTAAAAATATTTATCATTTTTAGATTGAATTTTTATGTTTAGTAAAGTTTTACAATTTTAAATTTCATTTACTGGAAAATTTCGATTATACATTTTTGCTGATGAAAATATTAATTATTGATTGCCATATTAAGATTATTATTTGACTGAAATTTAATTTACTGTTTCTAACCTCTTTGTTTTCAGTTATAGAAAGATTCCACAATTTACCCTAAAATGGAATTATATAGAATATGAACAAGATAAATTATAAATTATATATTGATATTACACAACTTTTAAAAGTTTCATTGTCAAGAATCATTATAATTCGTTTAAAATTATTTTTATCGGATATGGATATTGGTATTGATATTGAAGGGGGGCGCGCTCGTGAAAATGCCACCCTTTCTATAGAAGGTTAGCAACTTCTTAAGGCTAGTAATACCATGCACTGAATCCCGATCGATCAGGGTCATTCCGAAGACTCCCAATCTTGCTCATGTTAAAGCAAAGCACTCGGTAAGCAGAAAATACGAGGCTTTCTCCCTTTTTATGCAATCGGATATGGGTAAAGATAATTTATAAAATTTTGTCGACTGAAAATTACTGTTTCATTGAAAGAATTGTAGTTACTTTTATATCAAGGAAATATCAGGTGAATGATTAAATCATGTTTAAAAATATTTATCATTTTTAGATTGAATTTTTATGTTTAGTAGAGTTTTACAATTTTAAATTTCATTTACTGGAAAATTTCGATTATACATTTTTGCTGATGAAAATATTAATTATTGATTGCCATATTAAGATTATTACTTGTCTGAAATTTAATTGTTAGTAATTTATAATAATGAAAGAAAGAAAATTGAACATTGTTTTAATTTATCAATGAATATATAAGGATTGCCATTGATTAGTTATTAAAGATACATTATAAAATGAATTTCATAAAATAATAACTTTGAATATACTTTTGTTTTTCAGGTCTTTTAATTTATTGTTTTTTATTTTCAGTAAATAAGAAACTCCAAAATTAATACAAACAAGGAACTATCATCATGAAAAATCGTTACATTTCAACTGAGATGGTTTGAATCAAAGATAAATAAATGTGTCTCATAAAGTTATATTAATTAAAAATTGTTATCTAATGTAATGAAATTTAGTTATTTTTACCTTAAATCACCATCCAAATTATTAGAAATTATGATAGACCCAACTACAGTCAAATGATGGTAAGAAAACATATATGTCTATAAATTTCAAGATTCTAAAAATATCGTTGATGATCGCATAAAGAACGTATTACTGGAATTTATTTCATAAAGAAACATAAAAGGTATTTAATATAACAATCTTAATTTTTATGTGATAATAATTTCCATAATCCCTAATTTATTATTGTTTTGTCTCCGATGGTTGCAGGA